CAATATCCTGTGATTTTGGTAACATTTGCTCATTGTTTGCCAGAGATATGAGGCGGGAACCATATATTTTAGCCACCTCAAATAATTTGTTCCCCCTCTATAAAATGTCAACAAATTAATTTACCTGCAAATCCTTAACTGTGTATATTATCCTCATAAACAAGAATAAATCCTGTGACTTTGGTAACATTTGCTCCTTGTTTGCCAGAGATATGAGGCGGGAACTATGTATTTTAGATCACTAAAATAATTTGTTCCCCTCTATAAAATGTCAACAAATTAATTTACCTGCAAATCCTTAACTGTGTATATTATCCTCATAAACAAGAATAAATCCTGTGACTTTGGTAACATTTGCTCCTTGTTTGCCAGAGATATGAGGCGGGAACTATATATTTTATATTACTAAAATAATTTGTTCCCCCTCTATAAAATGTCAAAATATTAATTTACCTGCAAATCATTAACTGTGTATATTATCCTCATAAACAACCATAAATCTTGTGATTTTGGCAGCATTTGCTCCTTGTTTGCCAGAGATATGAGGCGGGAACCATATATTTTAGATTACTAAAATAATTTGTTCCTCCTCTATAAAATGGACAAAAATTTATTTACCTGCAAATCCTTAACTGTGTATATTATCCTCATAAACAAGAATATATCCTGTGATTTTGGTAACATTTGCTGCTTGTTTGCCAGAGATATGAGGCGGGAACCATATATTTTAGATTACTAAAATAATTTGTTCCTCCTCTATAAAATGGACAAAAATGAATTTACCTGCAAATCCTTAACTGTGTATATTATCCTCATAAACAGCAATAAATCTTGTGATTTTGGCAGCATTTGCTCCTTGTTTGCCAGAGATATGAGGCGGGAACTATATATTTTATATTACTAAAATAATTTGTTCCCCCTCTATAAAATGTCAACAAATTAATTTACCTGCAAATCCTTAACTGTGTATATTATCCTCATAAACAACAATAAATCCTTTGAATTTGATAACATTTGCTCCTTGTTTGCAAGATATATGAGGCGGGAACTATATATTTTAGATTACTAAAATAATTTGTTCCTCCTCTATAAAATGTCAACAAATTAATTTACCTGCAAATCCTTAACTGTGTATATTACCTCATCAAACAACAATATATCCTGTGATTTTGGTAACATTTGCTGCTTGTTTGCCAGAGATATGAGGCGGGAACCATATATTTTAGATTACTAAAATAATTTGTTCCTCCTCTATAAAATGTCAACAAATTAATTTACCTGCAAATCCTTAACTGTGTATATTATCCTCATAAACAACAATATATCCTGTGATTTTGGTAACATTTGCTCCTTGTTTGCCAGAGATATGAGGCGGGAACCATATATTTTATATTACTAAAATAATTTGTTCCTCCTCTATAAAATGGACAAAAATTTATTTACCTGCAAATCCTTAACTGTGTATATTATCCTCATAAATAACAATAAATCCTGTGATTTTGGTAACATTTGCTGCTTGTTTGCAAGATAAATGAGGAGGGAACTATGTATTTTAGATTATTAAAATAATTTGTTCCTCCTTTATAACATGGAGAAAAATTAATTTACCTGCAAATCCTTAACTGTGTGTATTCCCCTCATAAACAGCAATATATCCTGTGATTTTGGTAACATTTGCTCCTTGTTTGACAGAAATATCAGGCGGGAACTATATTTTAGCCACCTCAAATAATTTGTTCCCCCTCTATAAATGTCAACAAATTAATTTACCTGCAAATCCTTAACTGTGTATATTATCCTCATAAACAACAATAAATCCTGTGACTTTGGTAACATTTGCTGCTTGTTTGCCAGAGATATGAGGCGGGAACCATATATTTTAGATTACTAAAATAATTTGTTCCTCCTCTATAAAATGTCAACAAATTAATTTACCTGCAAATCCTTAACTGTGTGTCCCCTCATAAACAGCAATAAATCCTGTGATTTTGGTAGCATTTGCTCCTTGTTTGCCAGATATACGAGGATGGAAACTTATATTTATATGACTAAAATAATATTTATCTCCTCTATAAAATGGAACAAATTAATTTACCTGCAAATCCTTAACTGTGTGTTTTACTCTCATAAACAACAATATATCCTGTGATTTTGGTAACATTTGCTCCTTGTTTGACAGAAATATCAGGCGGGAACTATATTTTATCCACCTCAATAATTTGTTCCCCCTCTATAAAATGTCAGCAGATTAATTTACCTGCAAATTCTTAACTGTGTATATTATTCTCATCAACAACAATATATCCTGTGATTTTGGTAACATTTGCTCCTTGTTTGACAGAAATATCAGGCGGGAACCATATATTTTATTCACCTCAAATAATTTGTTCCCCGTCTATAAAATTGCAACAAATTAATTTACCTGAAAATTCTTAACTTTGTATTTTATCCTCATAAACAACAATAAATCTTGTGATTTTTGCAGCATTTGCTCCTTGTTTAGAGATATGAGGCAGGAACTATATATTTTAGATCACTAAAATAATTTGTTCCCCCTCTATAAAATGTCAACATATTAATTTACCTGCAAATCCTTAACTGTGTGTATTATCCTCATAAACAACAATAAATCCTGTGACTTTGGTAACATTTGCTGCTTGTTTGCCAGAGATATGAGGCGGGAACCATATATTTTAGATTACTAAAATAATTGTTCCTCCTCTATAAAATGGACAAAAATTAATTTATCTGCAAATCCTTAACTGTGTATTATCCTCATAAACAACAATAAATCCTGTTATTGTCAGCATTTGCTCCTTGTTTGCCAGAGATATGAGGCGGGAACCATATTTATATTACTAAAATAATTTGTTCCTCCTCTATAAAATGGACAAAAATTAATTTATCTGCAAATCCTTAACTGTGTATTATCCTCATAAACAGCAATAAATCTTGTGATTTAGGCAGCATTTGCTCCTTGTTTACCAGAGACATGAGGCGGGAACTATATATATTAGATTACTAAAATAATTTGTTCCCCTCTATAAAATGTCAACAAATTAATTTACCTGCAAATCCTTAACTGTGTATATTATCCTCATAAACAACAATATATCCTGTGATTTTGGTAACATTTGCTCCTTGTTTGACAGAGATATGAGGCGGGAACCATATATTTAGCCACCTCAAATAATTTGTTCCCCCTATATAAAATGTCAACAAATTAATTTACCTGCAAATCCTTAACTGTGTATATTATCCTCATAAACAGCAATAATCTTGTGATTTTGGCAGCATTTGCTCCTTGTTTACCAGAGACATGAGGCGGGAACTATATATTTTATATTACTAAAATAATTTGTTCCCCCTCTATAAAATGTCAACAAATTAATTTACCTGCAAATCCTTAACTGTGTATATTATCCTCATAAACAACAATATATCCTGTGATTTTGGTAACATTTGCTCCTTGTTTGCCAGAGATATGAGGCGGGAACCATATATTTTGGCCACCTCAAATACTTTGTTCCCCCTCTATAAAATGTCAACAAATTAATTTACCTGCAAATCCTTAACTGTGTATATTATCCTCATAAACAACAATAAATCTTGTGATTTTGGCAGCATTTGCTCCTTGTTGCCAGAGATATGGGGCGGGAAATATATCTTATCCACCTCAAATAATTTGTTCCCCCTCTATAAAATGTCACCAAAATTTACCTGAAAATCCTTAACTGTGCATATTATCCTCATAAACAACAATAAATCTTGTGATTTTGGTAATTTGCTCCTGTTTGCCAGAGATATGGGGCGGGAACTATATATCTTAGCCACCTCAAATAATTTTTTCCCCCTCTATAAAATGTCAACAAATTAATTTAACATGTGCTCCATGTTCCCCAGAGATATGAGGCGGGAACCATATATTTTAGATTACTAAAAATCCTGTGATTTTGGTAACATGTGCTCCATGTTTCCCAGAGATATGAGGCGGGAACCATATATTTTAGGTGACAAAAATAATCATATTTGAATATTCATATTCATATATCATATCCCACACTGCCCATACTTACAAAAGTGTCGACTTAATGAAATAGTTGGCTTGACATGAAGCAAAACGTGATAAGCAATCTGCCGAAAACCTTGCGTACCTTTGCATAATTGATTGGAGGAATAAGATCACATGATTTTGACTTTCCATAAAACACTGTTTCCGTCTTCTAGAATATTTGTAAATTGGTAGACAAACATTTAAACATAAAACAAATTTAATAAACAACATCAAAACACTCATATTGATTTTAACTATTTTGGATGTTAAAGTCTCAAATAATAACTTTTCATTTTTATATAGAAAAGTAATCACCAACTGTATCAAAATTCACTGGATTTGTTGATCTATTCCCTTGTTATATGGGGGAACGGGTTATTTGAGGTGGTTAAATAACTCTTGCAAATAGTGATGAAATGTTATGTCATGTCTTATGTTATGTTATGTCTTATGTCAAACAGCAAGTTTGACATAAGATGATAAGTTTGACATAAGGAATAAGCAGTTGAACACATGTTGGTAAATGATTTTGTTTCCATGATTTGGAGGGGGAACGGATAATTTCAGTCAGGTAAAACAGCTAAAATATTCTGTTCCCCCCTCATAATTTTGCCAAATAAGAAGCAAACGTCACCAAATCCACATGATTTATTGTTGTTGATGAGAGTCATAAGCACAGTTAAGGATTTGCAGGTAAATTAATTTGTTCTCATATTATAGAGGAGGAACAAATTATTTTAGTCACCTAAAATATATGGTTCCCCCTTCATATGTCTGGCAAACATGGAGAAAATGTCACCAAAATCACAGGATTTATTGTTGTTAAACAGAGAAAAAATCTTGCTGGTAAGTTAAGTTGTTCCCATATTATAGAGGGCTAACAGATGTTCACAGGGGAACCGAATTTCGCACAAGACCGGCCGCAGTGTTCAGTCTGTCTGCTCACCTGTAGGAGAAACCCCCGCCGTGCTGGTCGCTCTGAACCGGCGGCTCCCGGAGGACAAAAAGTTTCCGGACTCCAAGCATCGCTCTCGTCATTTTAAGGATGCTCATTTGTTCCCCAAAAAACGAAAAAAAACAAAACAAAAAAACTCCGGATATCATCGCGAATCAGCAAATTCCTCCCAGGCCGAACTTGTAAATTGGACGTTGTGCTGCTAACGGTTAGCTTTCGTCACCAACTCAGGCGGGAGCGAGAACGCTGTGGAGCAGGTGCTTTAAATCATAAAACGTGACATTGTTCAGCCTGGAATGAGCGTCTTCCTCCTCACGTCTGAATTTTTTTTTTTTTTTTGCCAGTTTTTGCTTCCGAGGACGCCGGAGAAATCGGCCGGTCGTTTCAAAACACTCGGGTTGATGGCAGCTCGCCGGGCTGCTCGGCGACCCGTTTCCAGGCAACCGTGACGTTCTGCGTCGTTCCGTAGCGTTCTGGGGTCCTTTATTCTCCCGTCCCTATAATTTAGCTGACCTTAATATTTCCTGTTTTTTATTGGGGTCACTATTGTTACATTTAGTGTTGATATGCGTGTAAAAACTGGCCTAGATACGCCACTGTCAGAAATAAAGCAGGGAGCCAGTCAACATAACGGCATGCTTTATTGATATACAGTAAAGCATTTTATAGTACAGTAGTAAGGCATACATTTGATGGACTCTGATATGTTGGGAAGTACCGACATGTTATTTGAAAAAAAATGAAGATGAAAATGACATTCTTTGAAGTAGAACATGAAAGAAATGGACCTGGGTCAAAATGTCAAACTCACTGGGTCATGCTGCAGGAATCCGATGAAACAACTGATTATTACAAATTCAGATTTTTTATATTTTTTTTTGTCTTTCAGCCTCGGAGCTCCGCACACAGAAGGAAACCAACCAGCTTTGAACCAAAGAGAAAATTTAACTCAAAAACCCAGATTAGGCTCGACAGAACATTCAGCGTCCACCGGTGTTCAATTCGCAGTATCTTTTTCCGTTTTGACGAATATCGACTGAGTAGAGGTCAAACTGACGTCCGAGCTTCGCATGAGGTCGTTGAGTGAATAACAGGAAGTGGAAATCAAACAGTCAAAATGTTTCTACGCGGCATAGAACCGAGGCGTCGACTGTCAAAAGTTTCTAAACGGAGGAAGACTTTTCTGTCTTGGTGCGAAATGGGAGCAGATTCACTCTTCTGCTTTAGCGGATAGAAAAAAACAAATACATCTGATCAAAACTCGGTTTGCGCTTCAACACTTTGACCTTTGGAGAATGGATGGTGGACGTGTTAACAGAAATCTGACCTTTGACTTTTGTAAGATTTAAGCTCAACAGCGCCCTCTAGTCATTTTCAGAAAAATCTTCTATTTGTTTTCTCTTTGACTTTTCTTTACTGTTATTAGAATCATCAGAGCTTCCATTGGGTATTAATATCCCTCCAGTTTCTAAAAAGTAGCATTCCTCCACTCCAAAAAAACAAAACAAAAACAAACTAAACTAAAATCTGTTATGAAATTTTAGGCACCACACACTCACACACACACACACACAAAGAGAACTGCCTCTTAGAAAACACCCTCATTGTTACAATCGTTTGAAACTAGTGAGAAATGCTCCGGCTCGTTTCCCCAGTTAGAAAGAGATAGCAAATATACGAGGACACTGAAGACGCCGACTGTTTCTCGACCCCGCCTCTCGTTTTATACAATTGCATAGAAGTTTAAAAACCAGCTCTTTTTAACAATAAAACGGGACGTTTTAAGAAACTACTCAAATCTTAGATTTTTTTATTATTATTATTATTATTTTGTACTTGTTGCTTTAACTGCAATCCTTCACAAAAATAGACATTGTATTCTCTGTGTAAACAGGTTCCAATCCAGTTGTTTCGACTAGAAAAGCATGCGGTGTGATGGAGTGGGGAGAGGGGGGAGGAAGGGGGAGAAGAGGGGTCAAAAAGGACACGGCAGTTCCACGCTGCGCTCCGCGGTCATGGCGCTGACCAGCGATTCCATGGCGCGGCCCAGATCGTCCGCCATGTGGAACAGGCTGCCGATGCTGGGACCTGCAGGAAGAGGATTAGCATCACTAAAAATAAAAGGTAACATGACTTTTTCCTCTAGAATCTAAAATCTTTAACCGCTTAAACACCGCTTAAATGTTAAGGGGTTCAAACTTTTCATATGCTAACATAAGAGAGAAAATGTGTTGGCATTTCTTATTTTTGTCAATAGCTTTACATTTTGAGTGTTTTTTTTCCAGTTAGTTTGTTAGTGTGACCAGAAGTCAGCAACTTTCACACTTTATGGACCCGACGTGTTTCCCAGGCACGTTTTGCAGCCCGGTTTTTCTGTTGCGACACCACATTTCCAAAAGTCACACTTTGGAAGCTGAAGGTTGCAGACCTCTGAGCCATCCATGCACGACCGCTTCAACTTTCCAGATCTTGCCACAATTCATAACCAGAGAGTATCCAAAGCGTCATTTGATTTCTGAACTTGTTACTGAAAAGTGCGGCGTGCGTTTTGTAAAAATTTCTACTGCGAAGCGAAAACCTCTGGCGCTATTGTGTCTGTGATGCGCAAAAATTTTTTGGGGGGGACATTTGTGAAATGCAAAACAAATGATTTTCTGTCAATTTAGCAGCTCATGCTTTTGTCTCTGAATTTTTTGATTCTGTGTTGCATGACTTTGTGTTTATTATGTAAAGCACTTTGAAGTGCCTTACTGCTGAAATGTGCTATACAACTAAAATGTAATTGATTGACTGCATGTCACACTTTTCAGATATTTTTTTTTCATTTTTGAAACTATATGGCGTTTTAAGTGAATAATTGGAAAGTTTAAGCATCAGGAAAATTGTGTTGAGTTCAACAATCACATACAACAGCAGAACAATCATTTGGTCTGTTGTTGTATGACTGACAACTACATTTCTGCCTAAAAGCTTCGATATTCTGTGCTGTGAAAAAGTCATACATTTACAAAAGGTGACAGATGTTTTCTTTCCCTTCCACTGATCCACAAATCCCGGGTTCAGATTCACCAACGTGGCAGATGTCACAGAAAACTAGATTTTTGCTTTCCTTCTTTCTTTCTTTCTTTACAAAGTCAGACAATATTTTACTTTGCAAATGTACAAATTTTCAACAGAATATCAAAGTGTTTTCTTGCAAATAAGAGAAACTTCCAACAAAACCTCCAATTAAACCTCTTGAATGGTGAAACTCTGCCTCCTGCTGGCAGAAAATAGTCACTGCAGTCCACTTTCAGCTGTTTCTCAATGGTCAATTTGTCCAATAAATTTACAGGAAGAACATTTCTTCAAACTTGCAACTACATGCTACCAGTTTGGTTAATTCACGGCGCAAGCAAGCTCTAGAGACCAAGAGGTGGGGAGAGGGAACACTGAGCGACTGACCTCTCATGGACGTCCCCTTCTCCCGCCTGGCTCACCGAGAAAAAGGAAGAAAAGACATGAAGAAAGAAGGAAAAGTCATCCTTCTGTTTGGATGTCAGAGGAGTTCCACTGAAATGAGGCTACATTTACTGTTTCTAACTAAACGGTCGATAAGAGGACATAAAGTCAGGAATATTTTCACTCCTTCAAATCGAGACGAGAAAAGGGACAAAAAATATTCAGACTTTCTAACCGACACTTAACAGTTTTCCCCTCGGCACATTTGCGCAAAGGAAGTCAAGTGTGTCGTACCCTGGCTGTGAGGGAAAGTGTTGTTGAGCTGCTCCACCACTTCCTCCAGGCCAGATGCGTCTCGGGAAGGACTGGAAAACTCATCGTCGCCTGAAAACAGACAGGTCGTTTGATGGCTTTACGAGCGTCGACGGAAACAGCCGACCGTTTCCTGCTCTTTACCCATTGTGTCAGTCGTCTGGCTGGCTGCCACGCGCAGCAGCGGCAGAGACGAGTCGGAGCGCTGGGACGAGGTGGAGGGGGAGGAGAGGGCCGTGCCGTTCACCTTGGAATCCGTCTGACACACACACACACACACACACACACACACACACACACACACACACACACACACACACACACACACACACACACACACACACACACGAGTGAGTCGTCCACTGCCACCATTGCTGAACCAGTGATAACGTCTAACTGAGTCTGGTGTTAATTATCATATTTTATTTGAGCCCTCAAACTTTTTGTTGACAGACGTTTTCAAACATCAACGCTTCCGTCCGCTTTTCACATTATTAAAACGAAATGACATGTCAAACTTGAGCTTGACCTTCACACAACACAAACAAAATGTTGGAACGTTCCTTTTGGACGTCGAGCTCAAGTTTGGAAAGTCAAATGTTCAAAAACAATATTTTTGTGTTTCATTTAATTCAATTGTGACATGTGTTGATGTTTTGAAATATCTGTCGACATGATCGGTGACAAAAAGATTGAGAACTTAAACTGGATATGATGATTAACATTATTCACATTAAGTAGCCATTTTGGCTGTAGGTCTATTTGTCTACAAAGTTTGACACCAACAAAGTATAAAAGGCAATCCCACTACCGAGACATTTTTACTTAAGTAAAAGGTATTTTAAACTTGCTAATTGCTTATGGAGTTCCTCAAAGCACCATTCTCGGGACTTTTTTTTATTATGGTCGAATTTATCTAATTATTTACATCTAATATGGACAAACTGCTGCTGGGTTTAGAACTAAGTTGCTGATTTGTCAAATCAAAAGCAGAACCGGTCTTAAACCTGGTGGCCATATTAAACTTGTCTTTATGAGTCGGCTCTTTGCTCCGGTCCAGCTCACAGTTGGCGTTCGGCGTATTTCAAGAGTCGGGAGCGTTACCTGCTCCAGAAGCTGCCTCAGCCTGTGCAGCTGGGACTCCAGCTGTTTGTTGTGGTCCTCCAGTATCTGCATGCGGGCCTCCAGGCGACCTTTGTGCTGCCGCAGCAGCTTGGCCTCGGCGATGAGCTCGGCGTCTCGAGCGCTCTGCGGCGACACCGGGAGCATTTCGGGCGGCGAAGGCAGCGGGGACAGGCCTTTCCTGTCGTGGGCTTTTTTCAAACGGTCGTACTCGGCCTGCAGCTTCCTGTCAAAAAAACGCAAATCAATAAAGAAAAAATATTAGTGACAGTGATATTTATTATTATTCATTTTTCCTGAACTTTTTCAAGCCTCCTTCCACGATGTGCTACTTTGTGTCCAAATAAAACGACCATTAAACACTGACCTGTTCTCCTGCTCCAGGTCACCCAGGACCCTCTCCAACTCTCCCTTCTCCTCTGTTTCCATGGAGATGAGGATCTGGGCGGGGCTGCGGGGCTGACTGAGAGGAGAGCCTTGGTTCAGAGACTGGCAGTAGTGCTGGATCAACATGTGCTCGTCATCGCTGCAGATACACACACACACACACACAC